TTACAAAATACGAGAGTAATGCAGTACACAATAATACCTATTTATTGTACTAACCTAACACTTAAAAGACAAGCTTTCAAGAGTTTTCCTTTCTTCCTCAGTTATTGCTTCAGACCTGAGAAAGAGAGGAAAACTCTCATAGCTTGCAGACATACTACAAGAGATGGCCAAAGACTGCAGAAGTACTACAGGAGATGGTCAGAGACTGCGGACATACTGCAGGGGATGATCAGAGACTGCAAACATACTACAGGAGATTATCAGAGACTGATGAAATACTACAGGAGATGGTCAAAGACTGCTGACATACTACAGGAGAGGATCAGAGACTGCAGAAATACTACAGGAGATGGTTAGAGACTGCAGACATATTACAGGAGAGGATCAGAGACTGCAGACATATTACAGGGGAGGATCAGAGACTGCAGAAATACTACAGGAGATGGTTAGAGACTGCAGACATATTACAGGAGATAATCAGAGACTGCAGACATATTACAGGAGAGGATCAGAGACTGCAGAAATACTACAGGAGATGGTCAGAGACTGTGTATATACTACAAGGGATGGTCAGAGACTGAAAACATAGTACAAGTACTGTGGATGGTGTGGTGATGTTGCTGTCAGTGTCCACAGCTCTAGGACCTAGAGGAGCCTGTACTTCCTACCTCTAGAGTACACCTTTGTGATCCCTGTCCCCTCTCCCCTCCTCTGTGAGTAGCTGCCAGAGTCGGACTCCTCTGCTTACTTTCCCACTAGGACCCTCACTCACATTAGCAGCAGTGTCCTGGTTCGAACAGCATATAGGTCCCCTCAGACTTCTGGCCAGTCAGCTCAGCAGCAGTATCCCAGTCCAGGCGGCAGGTCCCCTTAGACCCCTAGCCCATTCCGTAGTCAGCAGGAAGACCGGAGTCAGGAAGTACAGCACTAGAGGTGAAGAAACTCTGGAGGAGGAAGTTACATCTTCCTCCTCTGAATGCTGAGGCCTCCATGCATCATTTTGACACACATTAAAGATGGCCCTGGATGTCACCCTTCTGGCAGGGGTCACCCGGGTGCAGTCTGCAGCCCACTAGCGATGTCACCGGGTGCACGGGTGCTTGGGCATGCAGGAGGGGCCCCGATACTGCCTATAATGGCAATGAGGCCCCGTGCCCCTTGTCAGGGCCCCCCATAGGTGGCAGAATGCCAGAGCCCCCCTGTAGTGATGCCACTAAGGATCAACCAGGGAAGTGGATCACAGGCAGCACACCGAGGCATAGATAAAAGTTAAGGGAGGGATTATATTCATTCCCAGCAAGCAGCATCAAGTGAAGCTTAATTACTAGGATCTGCTGGAAGACACCAGCTTTTGGCCACCAGAACTGCACCCTTTGGCATTGGGAACCACAGCGCCACAAGCAGGTGATCCAAGTCCTGATAGTCCCCTCCCCAAACACTGGCCTCCAGGTGGTCCACTTAGCTTCGAACCTAAATGTCCATGTGAGTGATTCTTGTTCTAGATAAGTCCAAAAAAGGAGAAGGTCTCCCATCATCAGTGTATGAAGACTTTCCCAATTTCCTTAGGCCATGGTCATTCAATCTGCCGAATACCCAGCCAACAGGGTCTGGCAACCAGCTAGGTGCCCCACCATCAGAATCTGGAAGCTGGTTGGGAGCCCCGCAGATCATATCCTTTAGGAGGTGCAACACTTAGAACTTGCAGTTCCAGAAGACAGCAAATATCCCTATACTGGGATCCTATGGGCTATCTGTTGGTGCCACTATAGTTGCCAGAACAGGAAGCAAGGGCAAATCCCTCAAACACAGACACAGCCAGCAGTAAAAAAAATTCTAACAGTAAAAAAAAGTGTAGAACCTTTAGTCAAGGTTTTCTTTTTCCTGATTCTGTCCTTATGAGAAAAATGCCAATTCCTCATTTCCTGCTCAGATTTGACATTTCTAATTTTGGCAATAGTTCCACTTTAACCATAACCTGAACCTGAACACATAACCCATACAATTAAAAGCAGAACTATGGCCTAAAAAAAAAATACATGTGGGCTGTCCCCTATCATCTTCATGCTAAAAATTAGAACCATTCCCAAGTAAAAAAAAAAAAAAAGCAGACCCAAGCATCCACGGATTCATCATTAACAAAAAGCCATATAAAAAATTGCAGCCTCCATAGACTATTATTTTTCTTGATGCCACTATCCATCACACTGCCTGATCTAATTAAAGCCTTTAAAAGACTTTAGTACACTTTCTAACCTCAAAATTAACTTTTCTAAGTCATGAAGTTTAAGTCTTTCAGAAACATTGGCCATGCAGCCATGCAAAGCCAAAATGATTATCCATTTATCTTGAAAACTCCATCACATACATTACCTGGGGATAGAAATGCCCTTGGGCCTAACATTCCCTTAAATATCTGACACTACGCCAACAAATTAAGAAACATCTTCAGCAATGGGAACAATCACATATTTCTTGGTTTGACAGGGCAGCCATCATAGAGATGAATAAGCCCCCAAGAAGTTTCTATATGCCTCAGACCATATCAACAGATCTCTTCAAGATTTTTTTCACCATGAATAATGAGTCATTTACCACATATCTCTAAAGTTAGCTTGAAAACTCCAACTGTAGCAAAAAACAAAAGAGGTATTGGGCTCCCGGATATTCACAATATAAGACTTGCATGTTTACAAGAACTGTAGACTGAAACATAAATAGCCTCAAGAAAGACTGGTTTGCCTTAGGAGCAAGGTTTTGTCAACCAGGGTTCCATGGAACACTAGGGTTTCTCCAGAGGCTGCCAGGGGTTCCTTGAGAGCAATTTCAATCTATCAGATAAATTCTCACTAACACCACTGATCTTTTTAGACATCTGTAAGGGGGTAATTCTTCCTAATTACCACAAGTGTAAGGCGCATTCTTTCCAGTAACCATCACGCTAATGTATCAAGAGTTGTAGATATAGTACATTTTAGCAGGGGTTCCGTCAGACTGCAAAATTATTTCAATGTTTCCTCTGTGTTGAAGAGGTTGCCTTAGAGTAATCTTTTTCCATAACTCTACTACACTTTCTTCCTTGGCTAACCAAAACAGAACTCTTACAGTGTATAAGGCGCAACCCCTTGATAGGCCCAACCTTGAAGAACTTTGCAACGACTTGTAAAAACGCACCCTGTCATTGTCAAAAGTGGCCCAAAAAAGAGTTCTGCCTAAAATTCCTTCAGTGAGGTAAGTTCTTTGTCAGAGGAATTATTAATGGCCGGCTTGGTACATACTGGATACACTGGTACCCCTTCCTCCAACTGCGATACTATCTCACAAAACCAAAACATCACTCCACTTACAGCAGACTCTCCACACCATTTGAGAAACTATGTTTGAGTAATACTCTACAACCTCATCTCTACACTACTATGTGGGCAGCACAGTGATTAGGACTTCTGCCTGGCAGTACTAGGGTTGTTGGTTCAAATCCATGGCACCACCTGCCTGGAGTTTGCATGTTCTCCCTGTGCCTGTATTGGTTTCCTCTGGGTACTCTGGTTTCCTTCCACACTCCAAAGACAAGCTGGTGGGCTAATTGGCTCCTGTCTAAAATTGGCCCAAGTGAATGTATGAATGTGAGTTAGGGGCCTTAGTTTGTACACTCCTTGAGGGTTAGGAACTGATGTGAATGTACAATATATTTTAATGTAAAGTGCTGCGTAAATTGACAGTATTATAAAAGTACCTATAATAAATAAAAATACTATGTAGTCTCATATCTCAGCCAATGCAGGTAAAACTAGGGAAAAAAAGCTGGGCCATGTCCGTACAAAAAAGACTTGAAACATAAATTCTGAATTGTACCCAAAAAAGGCTCTGCTGGTAAATACCCATGACATGAATTATTAAATGAATATTAGGGGTACCCTTGGAGCAGAGCTGTGGTGAGATTCCCCGCACCACATTGCAGAACATCAAGCACGAGATAAGAAACTTTCCCTTAGTTGGACCACAGCTGTATTGGATACCAATGGTCTTGTTATTTTAGGTTGTACCTATACTACAAACCAACAATTCTGGATGCACAGATGGCCACAGGATTTGGAAATTATTTGCGTGCTTCTGTCCCCAAGGTATACATGCATTTCTTGTGATAAGAATAAAAGTGATTAAACATTTTTTTAAAGGGACAGTGCAAAAAATAAATAAATAAATAATTTAAAAAAAAGTTTAAAGTGCCCCCGTCCCCCGTGCTTGCACGTAGTGGTGAACACATACTTAGGCCATGCCCACATAAGTAAATGGTGTTCAAACCACACACGTGATGAATCGCCATGAACGTCAGAGCAAGAGCAATAAATCTAGCTCTAGACCTCCTCTGTAACTTTACACTGCTAACCTGTAGACATTTTTAAAGGATCACCCATGGAGATTTTTTCGCCAGTTCGCAGTTTTTTCGCCATTCCACGAGCGTGCGCAATTTTAAAGCGTGACATGCTTTTTTGATTTTGGTTTTCGGCCAAGTGCATTTTGAAGTTTCGGCACCAGAATTTTCATTTAGGTGCACCACTAAAATTCACTTTAATAAAAAGCAGAAATACAAACAAATACAAATAGAGGTGCTGAGGTCTAGAACTACAGTCGATTAAAGTATACCTCATCTTGTAAAACAGCATATCCATTTTAAAATGAAAACAATTGTGTATATGCATAATAAATATTAAAAATACCTCTTTGTAATTTTTTTATAAGTGATCACATAATCTCTGTTCTCAGCTGCATAAGGGGCATGCAGGTGGATGTTGAGACACAGTAGTACGCTGGTCTTCCCAATGAAGTGCTGATCAGGAAGGCATGTCAGCACAAGTTTTCCCATTTACAAGAGAGAAACTGACAATGCTTAGATGGATGTGCTCTCATGCCTAGAGTGGTCAGTTAAGAATCGAACAACAAAGGGACTGACAGGATCACCAGTTTTTCACACAAAAGAAAAAAAAACAGAACAGGATACTTTTTAACCTCCCTGGCGGTATTCCCGAGTGTAGCTCGGGGTAAAGTTTCAGAACCACAAGCGGTAACCCCGAGCTACACTCGGGAATACCATGCGACCCTGCTCCGCGATCCCTCGATCACTTACCTTGTCCTGCGCTCCCGCGATGTTGCTCCTGCAGTGTCCCCGGCAATGTAATCCGTCGGATGCCGGCATCTGTCATCTGGGTTCCGTCCCCTGCGAGCGTCGGGACGTACGGGGACGGAACTGCGGGAAATTTGAAAATGACAAAAAGTGACATTCACTAAAATCACATAGTAAAACATTACTGTATCAAACCATTTCACATACATTTTGTCCCAAGTGCTTTGTCCTGTGCCCTGCCTGCATTTTTACTGTTCTTTCTGCCTGGAAACTGATAAATGTCCATGGTGTCCAAAAAGCGTCCCTTTAGGTCAAAAGTGGTTTTAGACCAACTAGAGAACAGCGATAGTAAATCAGAACCACTTGCAGAATTGAGTGATAATGATTCGTGGGGAAATTCGTCATCAGACACTGAAAACGATTTTGCGGCTTTGCTCAGTGATGTGCAAACTTGGCGCTATATTTCAAATTTCAGTGTTTTTGGTTTGATTATATTATTGAATTAATTTTATTATTATTATATTATTATTTTTTTTTTATGATTATTTTTTAAATTATAATTTATGATTTCGTGTTTCAAGTTTTATCATACCCGGGATGTTTACTAGACTCTTGTTTGGACAGATTTCAGTGAGTTATTCCTAAAACTTACAGGCCTACAATATAAAATGCCAAATTTCCATGCAAAATAATGGTACCGCTTTCAGCACCAAAAATCTGAAATAATCATACCGCCAGGGAGGTTAACACAAGTACATGGTACAACACATACATATCAGGAATATGAAATGTTGGGGTAACATATGCGCTTGCGGACCACGCACTGTAGTTTTACTGCTACAGTGTGGGCAAGCTGGACAGAATCTTGTAAATATATGTTGTTGTTTTTATTTCTGGGTAGTGCCTGGCTGTACTCTCACTAGCTCTCCTCCCAGCGGGTCCTGGCCTATGATTTATGGAGCAGAAGACAGGAGAGAGATCTATGTTGGCAAACTACACTGATCTCTTTACTGACAGCAGGGATGTGGCGGTTTTTGTCTCCCTGCAAAGCAGGGAATACAAATTGTCACATTCCTTAGCAAAAACAGCACACAGTTAGCACAATAACACTTGCTAGGTACACAGTTTGCCCTTTGATTGCCCCATATGTTAACCTTTTCCTACCCAGTGTCATTAGTACAGTAACAGTACATATTATTAGCACTGATCCCTTTATTAGTGTCAGTTAGTCAGTGACCACAAAGTGTCAGTTAGTGTCAGACTGCCCACCTCACTATCACAGTCCCGTTATAAGTCATCGCCCAATCGCTGCCCTTACTAGTATAGAAAAAAAAATCTAGTATATATACTAGCAGTGCAGTGTGGTATAGCAATAAATGGCCTGGTCATGAACGGGGTCAAATCTTCCAGAGGTCAAGTGGATATCCTTTTACTTGAATATCTCATATCCTGACAATTCATTAGCACTGGGAAATAATCTTCTACTGTGTATGGGCACCCTTTATCAATTTGAATCATGCAATTTTGTAACACCACCAATTTGTCAAGTTTGTAATAATAAGTAAAGTCTATCATGCCATAATTGTCCAGAATTCTAGTAAACTTTAAAGCGGAACTTCACTCTCTTAATCAACACTATTTTGAATCCTTATGCTGCTAGCATTAGTAAATAGATAGGAAAGTATATCATATTATCATATTTATTTGTTTTAAACTCTTTTTTTTACATTGTTTTCTTGCCCAGGCAAATTATGTCATACATCCCAGGAATATTCAGAAGGGGAGGAGGGGCTTTCTCAGCTCACTATCCTGCCTGCATAAAAAATGGCAACTGTCCCAACCTATAACCAGCCTTAGCAGTAAGGTGCACATGAAAGGGTAATGCACGTCACAAACAAACAAAGATTTTCCCAGCAGCACTTACCAGCCAGCCTGCAAAACAACCAATTTGGCCCTGTCTAACAGTTTGCGTTAAAAACAGAGGGTAACCCATATGGAAGAAAAATATATTTGAAGTGTATTTTAAAAATATTCTTCCCAAATATATTGACATATATTTAAAATGCTATAATTTTGACCATATTCAATATATTTCAAAAAAAATAATAATATATATATATATATATATATATATATATATATATATATATATATATACACACACTTACATATACACTGCATGTTGAAATGCGTTTATTTACAAAATATATGAAAAATATTTTTAAAAATACTTTTCAAATACAGTATATTTGAAATGAATTTTTAAAAATATTTTTCATATATTTTGAAACAAAAAGGCATTTCAACATGCAGTATATATATACATAGATTTATTGAAATATATTTTGAAAATATATTGGATATGGCCAAAATTGTAGCATTTTAAATATATGTCACTATATTTGGGAAGAATATTTATAAAATATATTTCAAATATATTTTTCTTCCATGTGGGAATGTTTGCACACATTTGTAAATACATGCGTAAGCCACAGTCCCGCGTCAAGGGTCCTCTGTATACTGTGGAACTAACAAAAAAGTTAAAAACCTAAACGTTTAGTTAGTTCCACATTATACAGAGGACCCTTGACGCGGGACTGTGGCTTACGCGTGTATTTGCAAAGGAGTGCAAACAAAACCCTCTGTTTTTAATGCAAACTGTTAGGCAGGGCCATATTTGTTGTTTTGTAGGTTGGCTGGTAAGTGTTGCTGGGAAATCCTTTGTTTGTTTGTGGTATCCTGCCTGCATGCCTGAACTAAGGGCAGATGGATTCCAGGAAGTAAATTCTACATGAATCATCTTACCTCACTCAAGATGGTCACGACCAGAAATGCTAGGGGGCTGCTTTTCTAAAGTGAATTCTCAGCAAAATACAGCATGAGACACAGATGGATCGGGGAGTTTGGTTTGAATATTAAAAATTAATTAAATAGCATTTTTAGTTTGTGATGCTTAGAGGCAGTGCAGTTCCACTTTAAAGAACTTTAAACATTTCTTATACAAATTTCTTGAACATAGCCTAAGCCATAAACTATTCTAGATTCAGACAAAAATACAGTATTTGTTATCTGCGAAACAAAACTTTGAACTTAATTAGATTCCAACTAAACATGCTATGAAATCAACCAAAACGTATTATCAATCTTTCAGATTAAAGGATTCTGGACACGTATTTCCCTTAATTTGACAAGGTTTTCTCAACAAAACAAAACAAGAGCAGTACACAGAGAATGTAAGATGTGAAAACCATATAATCAGAGCTTTTACTGACAGCTAGTGGTGTCACCCATCTCAGAGGAACACCTAGCATCTGCTAAAACTGTCTACGTGAGACATGTGTTCTTTGATTCAGGTCAGTCATTTGAGAAGAGCTTGTTTTAAACCTAATGAATTCTACTTTTTTGTACACAGTAAATAAACATTTTTGTATGGTAACCCTTTAATCACAGAAAAGCATTTCAAACAATGCGACACAGATATTTCATTACACATGAGAAATGTGACGGGCAGCACAGTGGCTAAATGGTTAGCACTCCCGCCTGGCAGTAACTAGCATCATAGGTTCAAATCCCAGCCACAGCACCACCTGCCTGGAGTTTGCATGTTCTCCCTGTGCCTGTGTGGGTTTCCTCTGGGTCCTTCAGTTTCCTCCCACACTTCAAAGACATGCTGGTAGGTTAATTGGTTCCTCTCTAAATTAGCCCTAGTATGAATGAATGTGAGTTAGGGACCTTAGATTGTACACACCTTGAGGGTTAGGGACAGATTAGAATGTACAATATATATGTGAAGTGCTGTGTAAATTGATGGTGTTATATAAGTACCTGTAATAAATAATGTGTTTCTTTTATTAAGAATAAATAAACAAGTACAATAAATCATTCCCTCTTTTCTGCAAAGAAGATGCTTTACAACACGGTCACACTGGATGCGAACTGGCATGTGATTTGCATCCCATGCGACTTGTAAATCGCATGCCAAGATGCAGCCTATTATCTGTAATTAGAGCAGTCATATTGGCGCGGTTCTGACTTGGTCGGAGCCTCACCGATTTCTAAAGAAGTACATGCACTACTTTTGGTGCAATTTGTATAGACATCTGTGTCAGATGTCTTGCAAATCGCACCTGAAATCGGCATCTCACTCGACTTTGAAATCGTGCGACTTCACTGTAAGTCGCACGATTTCAAAGTTGGGCTTGATTCGGGGGGTAAAGCAGTATTAAACCCAAAAGCAAACATTTATGAGGGTAATGAATAAGCGTTGTCTTTAGTGTGAAGTGCGTTTACCTGCCAGTCCCCCACTGTATTTCCACTGTCTGTATTGGTTTTATCCTGGTTCAATAAAGTGGATTGTTTGGAGTGCAGTCGATCGGACTTCCATTGTTCTCATCTATGCAGCACACGAGCTGGGCTAGCGCCTACAGGAGGAGCTTTGCTTGGCGATAGAGAGTCTCTCTACCTTGAGCAGTGGTAAACATTTAAGATATTGTAGCTCACCAATTCATAGATGTAATGGCTGCATTCATTTTCTTTCTTAGACTTTCTTCTTTTATTTTCACCTGGTGATCTAGCCAGTAAGTCTGTTATTTTTCAACAGAACAAGCTGTCTTCCAGATGTAGCAGTTAGAGTGGTTAGAGACAAAACCATTTACGACTAATAAGGGTGTTTACAATGATCAGCTTGTATTTATTTGTGTGAAACCTTCACACACAAAGCTGTTGCTGTAACTGACTATAAAGTATTAGCTGAAGTTTGCCTACAAAAATTGTTGGTGTATTTAAATCTGCTAGTCCATCTAACACTCCCCTCCCCCCCCCAGACTGGCAATGTTGCTGTCCAAAGGTGTCTTCGTGCTTCTCCAGAGTGGAGGGAAAAAAGGCATAAAAAAGAAAACTAATGCAGTCACCACATCTAATGACTGGTAACCTGCATGTAAGCGGGGTGCAGCTTGGTGCGGCGGCAATAACACACAGAGTCCAATGAAGTGCAATGAAAGAACGTATATTGAAGTAATGCAGACTCCGGTTTTCTCCCACACTCCAAAGACATGCTGGTAGGTTAATTGGATCCTAGTTAATTGGCCCTAGTATGTGTATGTATGCATGTAGGTTAGGGACCTTAGATTGTACACCCCTTGAGGGTTAGGGACTGATTAGATTGTACACCCCTTGAGAGTTAGGGACTGATGTGAATGTACAATATATA